AAAGGTGATGATGATACACAAGAAGTGATCTCTCGAAGAAGAACTGATCGGCAAGAATTATCTCCTTATCTTGCTCCAACACATGAAGACAAAGAGTACAACTCTTTCAGCGACTACGATCAACTCCTCTCAACCAACGGAGGAGATTGATCTGCTCAAAAGGCCTATAAAATAGGCAGAAGCATGAGTGATAAAATCAAGTTTTTGAGTCATCTAAGTAGAGTATTCACTTCAAACATCCAAGAGATATCTAGCAAAAGAGAAAGTGCATGTTAAACTTTGCTCTCTGCTTAGACTCATGCTTCACTAAGCTCTTAGACTAAGATCATACACGACTACACTTTTAGAGCTTAGTTTCTAGTTGGAGGATAGAAATTTTCTTGTAAACAAATTGTTGTAAACACTTAGGAGAACAGTTGTTCGGATCCTAAAGTGTGGTTAGATAGATAGAGTACCTTTTGATCCCCACTGGATCAATCGAGAAAAGTCTAAGGACTGAGTAACTTTGAGTGGTGTTATACTCATTGTGAAAAACCTTCAATCTAGGCCAGAGTTGTCAAGGCTAGATTGGCACTAATTGTATTGGGCTGAATACTTTAGTGGAAATCCATCTGAAATAGGGTGGGACTGGATGTAGGAGGATTACACCACCTCTGAACCAGGATATATCGTGTGTTGATTTACTTTCATACATACAGAAGCACACACCAAACACATCTCACTAAAGGATTGTAGTTTGCCAGCAGCATCCTAAGCAGTAGTCTTCATCGACTGTACTGCTTAGCCTACTGCTTAATAGCTCACTCTCCTTGAGAGTATTTTCCACTAGAAGTTATCTTACACTCAGAAGGTGCCTCAGCAGTACCCTGGTCTTCACCCTCCTGCTGAGCCCACTGCCCATTTATATGTGTCTTTCCGAACGCCATAACAAGCCAGAACAAAAAGCCATCCAAAAGTCATCCTGTTCTTAACAGTTGCCTCAGCAGTAACCTGCCCACCAGCCAACTGCCAATTCAGCAGTTGCCTGCCAGTCAGCAAACTGCCTGTGCAGCAGTAGACTAAGCAGTTATCTGCTCACCAGTCTACTGCCAAGCCTACTTCCTCTTGTCACCAGTCTAAACATCATCTAAACTAGAAAGTTGTCTCACACCAAGTATAAAGAGGTTAAAGACTTCCGCTGTGCATCTATTAATCTCTTAAAAGATTATAGATCAACTCATCTAGAGGGAAAACTTGACAAAGTTGAAAAAGATTTAAAAGTCTATTCACCCCCCCCCTCTAGACTTTTACCTCTATCCGGGACCATCAGCAAGAACATCTGATCACAAAGGGGGAGATTGTTAGAGATATTTTCATTATATTGTGATCAATGTATCTTAGCTCTTTGTATTTAGCTGATATAAATTAATAGACTAGCTAGAATAATGAATAGGCCTTTTAAGGCAAATTGTAATAAAGGCTTACATGCCTTTTTAGGTATGGGCCTCCTAGAAAAAGGAGCCCAAATGATTGTAAAACCTACCTTTCCCGTCAGGCTATATATATGCCTTAAGGGAAAGGCTAGGTTAAGCTTTTCAACATTCTCTGTGCCGCAGTGCCTATTCTCGTGATAGAAGTTTTACGCTTAAGTTTCATATCATTCTGTAAACTTCTTCATCACATCAATGGAAAGCTTCATTCTCAGTTCTGTCTTCCATACATACACATTATAGACTAGAAAACAGGGACCTAACAATATATATATATACATATATATATATATATATATATATATATATATATATATATATATATATATATAGGGAACTCTTCCGGTAAGGTATACCTTATCGGAGTCTCCGTGCGGCCTCCACATTTTAAGGGCCTTCCTGGTGGAATTTTTCGCTGAAATTTTTTGAGCATGTTCTTCATCAAGTCTAGTACATCCATACTAAATTTTAGCAAAAAATTCAATCGGGAAGACAGTCAAATGATTTTTGGAAGATAACTGCACCCTTTATATACATATAAAACGCGGTTATCTTCCAAACTTCGTTTGGCTGCCTTCCCGATTGAATTTTTTGCTGAAATTTGGTATGGATGTACTAGACTTGATGACGAACATGCTCAAAAAAATTCACCGAAAAAATCCACCGGGAAGGCCCTCAAAATGTGGAGGCCGCACGGCGGCTCCGGTAAGGCATACCTTACCGGAAAGATTTCCTATATCCTAATATATATATATATATATATATATATATATATATATATATATATAGAGAGAGAGAGAGAGAGAGAGAGAGAGAGAGAAGTGATCAGGTCTAGTCGGAGGGACGGGAGGCGCCGTTCGAACTCCGCCGTTTGGGGCGGTTCCCGGTGTAATTTTTTGATGAAATTTTTTGAGCATGTTCTTCATCAAGTCTAGTTTGTTCATACCAAATTTCAGCTCAAAATTCGACCGGGAAGGCGTTCAAATCATTTTTTGAAGTTGACTGCGCCAAAATATACATATAAAAATGCAGTCAACTTCAAAAAATGATTTGAACGCCTTCCCGGTCGAATTTTGAGCTGAAATTTGGTATGGACAAACTAGACTTGATGAAGAACATGCTCAAAAAATTTCATCAAAAAATTCCATCGGGAACCGCCCCAAACGGCGGAGTTCGGACGGCGGCTGGACCGGGGAGGGCTGGACCTGATCTTTTTTGTATATATATATATATATATATATATATATATATATATATAGTATGTGTGTGTGTTTGTGTAGGTTCTTCATCCCAGGTTCAGGCATTTTTGGCATTTCCCTGTTCCATATAATGATTATGCCTAAGAAAATCCTCCCGTAAATATATATTCTCTCCATCGCATAAAATTTTGGCCAAATTGACTTTTCTTGGTCAATAATGGTCAAATTTTACTAATGATATTTTTTATACGACTGATAGAGTAAATGGTCTGAGACTCTGAGGCCCTCGACCCACATACCCTTGGATACACAGCGGCTCAAGCCCACCTGATCTACACTCTCAACCAAAGTCGGTCTAGGGCACCAAACCCGTATCACTGTTTGTATCAGTCACCTCATCTAGTGACACCTCGTGCAGCACCATCTGGATATCCCAAACGAAAGCACTCAAGAACATAGGAAACATCAAGGACGAGGTGCGCACGCACCTGTGCACCTCGACCTATGCCACCTCATCCAACAGAATACATCGGCTCATGAGTCGGTTAAGCAATGACATGTGTCGCGCTATGTAGTGCCATAGGGGTTTCGCCCATAAAATAACTTACACGTGTACGTGCATTTAATGAAACTCTCAGTTATTACTAGAGTATATAAATGCCCCTTTGGGATAGTTATAAAGGCTTTGAATCTCATTTAATACAAGATTACTTTCTCTCTACAATAGGCTTTGCAGTTTGATGCTCTCGTTGAGAGAAAGAACAACCGAATTAGTACTCTCATTGCTACTTGACACTACTAACACCTCTAGAATGGGAAAAACTAGATCAAAACAGAACTTCACTTCCAAGCCCTTCAAGACCCTCAGATCCAGCAGGAGAAATCGAGGGATGCCGCGACTGAAAAGACTGTCAAGAAGGCAGGCCTCCAAAATATGGTTGACCTCACGAGTGACCTCCATAGCCAGATCAACATCACTACCCCGGAACACCCGCATAGACATTAAAAGAATGTGTAAAGCGAGGAGTGAGCCCATCAAGACTCAGCAAACCACTCCCCCTACACCCTATGAACATGCAGACAGCACTCCCCGTCATCGATGTAGCCTCGCTCAGAACCTCGAGGCCTTGAACGCCCTCCTGTCTAAGACAAGGGAAAATATGACACCACCACCTCCCCCCCCCCCCCCCCCCCCACCCCCATGGTCAACTACCTAAAGTACGACAGCGACGAAGGCATTGCCGAACAGGACACCGCGTTGCACACAACTGCCTCACCCTCTCACGCCAAGCCTAACTATGAGCTTTGGAAAGCTTTAACGCCTCACCCACTATGTAGGGCCTTGCAGAATTGTTGTATACTCTGTCTACGTAAACAGACAAGTCTGCCAAAGGTGTACACAAAAAATGTGTACACCAAACATGACTCAAGTAAAAAACTTAACTTTTTTCAAGACTTTTTTTCAAGACTTAACTCATTTGAAGTTAATTTGTAATCCTTTTAAAAGGAAAAAGAATTCCTGGAGAGCTTACAAAACGATAGCTTACAAAACGATGTCAAGTGACATACTCCCTCCGTTTCCAAAAGAAAGTCATGGTTTGACTTCACGGTTATTAAGAAAATAAATTGACTTTACTGTAGAAAACACTGTTTAGACACTGTTTGGCACAGTTTGGAAACTGTTTCGCACTGTTTGACACTGTTTGGATGTAGATTTCTTTGCCAAATAAGGAAATAAGGGAAGTGTGACTTTGTTTTTGAAACATCCCAAAAAGGAAAGTGTGAGTTTCTTTTAGAAACGGAGGGAGTATAATTTAACATTTTAAAAAAAAATCCAAAAAAAAATACAAATAATAAGGTCTTGTCCCACATGAAAAAATCTCTCACATTTTAATATAAATTGGTCAAGTGAGATATAATTTATATGCATTTCATGGCATATGATGGAGACCCAAAAGTATACCGTGTATACTCGTGTTTTATAAATTATAATCAGACTGCAAAGTGAGACGTACACACTTTCTTAAAAAACAAACGAGATAAGATGGTTTTAGAATCTTTTCAGCTTTAGAATCGTCCAATGACTTAAAGAGCGGATACAACTACAAAAATTCTCTTTGTACCCACTTTTGTACTCATTTTTGTACCACCCCCGTATTTTGTCTGTGCACACAGGCAATTCGTTAAAAAGAATGCAACACTTTTCTCTCATTTGCCTGTGCACACAGACAAATTTACAAAAATGTGTACAATAGTGGGTACAACAAGGACTCATACAACTATACAAGCATGCATACACTGATACACATAAACAAATGTTGAATATATGACAAAAACATAAGCTGCCCATTTCTAACGTTAAAGTGTGGGCTTTGGCTATCTTCAGATTATTGTGCTTTTACATGATAAGGAGCTCATCAAATTTGGCTGAAATGGGTTAAAAAAAATACCTCGTGATAACTTTCTAATTATTAACAAATTCCCAGTGAAACCAAAAATATTATTGTGATATCATCAAAATATTCAGCCAACTGATAACACTAATAAACATACATAAAATGGCGCCAAATGGGCATAAAATGTACGATAGGATCACTTCAGATACATCACACGCTCAAGTTTGGTCTAAAATCGGTGTCGATGAAAGCACTAGTGAACTCATCCAGACAAGCCATGCGGATCCGCTCAGGTGTGGCCGGATTATCGAGCACAAACCAACCATTAAAGCCAGCTTCTGCTCTTGCTGATGCAATGGCATCTTTAATAGCAAAAAATACAGACGAGGCAAGAAAGAAGGGTGGCTCCCCTACAGCTTTTGAGGAATGGATGGCCTTCGGATGTGGAGCTCCCTGTTAATAACATTTTAACAAATATAATTGTACCACATGTACTTAGGGTACCTGGATACTAATGCCAATGATGGACAGCAGCAGACTTACTTTTAAAAGAGAAACATTGAATTTGAAAGGAACGTCATTCACAGAAGGGATTTTGTACGTTCCTGGTCCACATGTGTATAGGCATCCAGATGGAATCCATTTGTGGGCCGGATCCCCCCTTTTTAGCTCCTCTAAGGCCACCCAGCCCAATCCTTGTATAAAGGCTCCCTCGATCTGCAAGTGCAACCAACAACTACTAAGAACACTATGATATAACATACTCCGTAACTGTTTTCTTTTTCAGTCTGAACCCGACCAGATCAAGCCAGACCAAATAGATTTAGTAAAGTCCTCGGTCCACAAATTTTGAGATTTCGGTCATCATTTTGATCCAACATGGAACTTTTTGGTCCATCGGTCCCAATTTAATGTTCTCATAGATTATTCATGCAGTAAACATTAGTTAACGTTAACCTCTAATTGTATACAACAACAATAACATTACCCCAATTGTATTCATGATGAAAATTGCGTCGAAAATTGCATGGACTGACTATTGTTTCATAACAAAGAAGCCCAGACGGTTTGATGAACACTTTCCCTAAATCTAACGACCTTAGTTTTATTCCCAAATATGAATTACTTTGTATTATTTTAAGAAGTCTAATTAAAATGCACTTCTATTGAGTCTATATATTGTCTCTCTTGAGTGAATGCACCCGTCAATGTAAAAAGCTTTGTACGTGAGCCACGCTCATGTCAGATGGCAGATCATAGGAGAATTGAGAAGGAGACCATGCAATTGATTTGCACTCAAGCCACTCTTTTTCCGTCATCTCTCGCTTGGTCTACAATTTGTTCTACAATTTAGAGTCAGGGATATTCACATTAATATGCAGAGAACGCAACTGCAGTTTCAGAGCATACAAAAAAATTGAGAGGTCTACCAAATGGAAGCCATTGAAGTAGATATAAAGAAAGCCCAATACTCGTCAAGGGAAGATGCCTGCTGTGAATCAGAACACTGGACAATGCATTAGAAGCGTAGGACATCGAACCAGAGGTGATAGACAGTGAATCAGAGGCATTGGACGTTGAGTAGGACTCAACATGCAACGAGATGGACACTGAAGACAATACCTTGTCACGATGGGCATTGAAGATGACAGTGGGCCCGGGAGGCAGTGAAGATGGGAAGTGGATTGATAGGCGCATGGGGGGGGGGGGGGGGGGGGTAGTGAGTGGTAACAATGGTGAAAAGGGCATTGACATTGGCGACAGCGATAATGCAACCACATAATTAGGGCATTCAATTGAACGAAAGGCGCATTAGAATAAAATGGGGTATCTGTCTCGATATTTATGTCAAGTCTTATTGATTTCAATAGTCCTGTGGGGAAGTTAACGATGTAAATTTTCCCATTATATAATTTTCGATGGAACTTCTAATATAGTTTCTCAATATGTAAATTTTGCCAATATAGATAGTATCTATGAAGCACAGAAAATCTGCAAAAACTCTCCAAACAGTTTTTTATTAGAAGATGGAGTTTCCCGACTCCCGTTTTACGTTTCCTACGTTTCCCCATGTTTCCCTTGTTTCCCACGTGTCCGTGCAACATAGGATGGAAGAGTTAATCATTGTAAATCAACAGGAGATCCTCAAAGTGAGATGGAGGGTGCACAGTACCAAGCATTCGCTAATGAGCACTGCATCCTCAAAATGATAAGAGTGAATTACCTAAATAGGACAAAAAGGTGGTCAAACTGCACAAATAGGACTACATGTTTTTAATTCCCCTTGGTAGGCTATCTATGTGCGTTTGGACAAATATACCCTTGTAGCTTTTTTTATCATCAAATCCAACAGATATATTAAATCAAAATAACGTTCGTCACATGGCTGATAACACAATCAAAGAAAAAGAAGAAAACAAAGTGATAAAATGCCTTATGTCTGCCGTCCGCCCTCGAACCAGACTTAGAATATATCACCTGTAGAAGCAATAATATTCGATGATCCTGTAATGAGCTTAACTGAGCCAATGACTAGCAAAATAGACTTCTCATCACCTGACTTAAAATCTAGAATCCCTCTGCTAGGAAATAAGAACATGTCCAAAACAACATGCAATTCGAAAGAAAAACACAAATAGAATAAAATGGAATTAAAATAGAGTTCACCCATCTTCTTCCAAACCCTAGTCTTGCTTGCACTCCATGGCAGCGGCTCAGGAGGGGGACGCGTCCGCCACTCATCCGCCTTAATAGTCATGCTTTTGTATTGAATGATGATACCCTCCTTTGACCTCCCTTGCTGGTGAATAAGATCTGACAAACACTAAAGCGTTGTTGGGTTGCCCAGCCCTCTGCAATTCCACGTGATGATACTCATAAGAGCTTGCAGCAATCCTTAAACAGCCGCACACTTCGATAATACCTTTGCGATGAAATTCTGCAATCGAGCCGAACTCGTAATGAAACTCCTCGTCAGGAATAGCACAGACAAAAGAGGAGAACACCACCGGTGTCGTGATCAAAATCGATCACCAACGGACAAATCCGAGCTAAGCGTTGCCTTGCGGCAACCCTAAAGAGAGTACTAATCGGCTTCGTATCAGGGTCTTACCCTTGTAGCTTTTAAAAAGTCTTAATCTTAATTAATAATAAAATCATTAAAAAAATAATAAAAAACGCAAAAAAAGTATTAAAAAAATTTATGAAATATTTATAAAATAAAAAACAAAAAAAAACATTAAAAAAACGTAAAAAACAACACCGCCGCCTCTGCCACCCCCAGCTCCCATCACCGGTTGGAAATATGCCATCATTTTTAGTAATGCCATAATAATGGCAGATTCAATGAGAATTTTGGAATTATGATGAGTAATAATGCCATTTTCTTGGCATTTTCAGAAAAAAATGACATTTTTTACTTTTTTTTATTAATTTTTTAAAAAAAATGTCAACATTTTTTAGTAATGCCATAATAATGGCAGATTCAATGAGAATTTTGACATTATGAGGAGTAATAATTCCATTTTCTTGGCATTTTCGGGAAACGTATCCATATTTTTTTAATGGATTTTTACTATTTTTTATTAATTTAAAAAAATCAAAAAACTATTTTTTTTTTTCCGATTTTTGAATATTTTTTACACTTTTTTTTAGATTTTATTATGAATTATAACATTTCATTATGAAATAATACCCTCCTTAGGGGCATTTCTGATAGGAATCAATGTTTAGTCCTATTTGTGCATTTTAGGGAATTTTTAGTCTTATCTAGAACAATTACAAAAATTATAACCCTCCCACATTATAGGAAGAGTTAACTTAATTATTGTAAATCAATAGGAGATCCTCAAAATGAGATGGAGGGTGCACACTATTTAAATTGAAACAAATTTGTATCTTAATATAAAACTAATGATGAATTAAATTTTCCGATCCCTCCCAGGACTGAATTTTTCAGGTCCAATCGTTGGTCCGGAAAGTTGTTTGTTGTTGGTCTTTGGTCCAATTTTTTTAGTTCTCAGTATTTAATCCGGTCTTTGACCGATGAACACTCCTTAAAAAACACTAAATCAACAATGCTAAGATTTGTATATAATAACACATGCATGCATCTACACGTGATTGACCAAGCTCATTATGTATATATTGTATCATATCATTATTAGAAACACATGCATGCATCTACACGTGACCTGCCTGCTCATTTTGTACATATTGTATCATTATTATTATTATTTAGTTTCATTCATTGTATTTAGTTAGAGACAGATATGAGCCGTCCATGTCCTTATCACAATGGCTCAACCTTGTACTTCATCTATTTATACGTACATGATTAATAAAGAAAGACACGGTTGATACATTTGCAATTCCAATTGTATATCAATAAGTACATAGAACTTTCAGAAGGGGTCAGAAATTCAGAATATTAGAAAGAACCTGTCCAATATCAATTGCAGGATTAAGAGAGAAGCCAAGATCCAAGATAACATCTGCTCTCCTGGTGTGGAAATCTCCTGTTAATGCATCAATTTCAACTTCGGCAAATGCAGCCCCATAGGTGAAGTAACTGAATGGGTTTCCTTGACCAGTTTTCCAGTCAAAGCCGACATCAGGAGTGATGAAAAATCCGTGAGCAGAGAGGTCTACTCTCTCCTGATAGCATGCAATCACCATCTAAAAAATTATCCACACAGATTACTGTTCCATACCCATCACGAAAGTAGCATATCAACCGAAATGAAGGTACACACTATTTTAAGGCATTCAGGATTATCTAATCATTAATAGTGGGAACACAAAATACCTCTTCAAAAGAGTTGAAATTACGCTTAGATGTGATTGACTCCATTCTTGCTTTTATTTGTTCACAAGCATCTAAAACTGCAGCTCCATACATATCAGAGCTGGCAGAAGCCGCCGTTGGTGATGAATTGGGAACCTTGATTGATCAAGAGACACGAGGGGAATGCATCAGCCATTAGATGAGGAATGCATTACAGGAAAGAGTTGCAGCCAGCCAGCCATTACTAAATAGTCCCAACTCCCAAACAAGGGCTAAAACTCATAGCCGATACAATGATCTACTCTTTAAATCCATACTCCAATAGTCCAATCCCAACCAAAGATCTTAAGCCATTTCACCCTCTCTTTAAAAAAGGAGGGGGCGAAGAAAAAAAATATGTAGGGTCTGTTTGGAACCAAATGCTAGGGAGCAGAAAATTAAAAGAGAAGAAAACCTGAGGGCCCAAAGAATCTGTCTTGGATACTTTATTAAACTTTTTTTATGTATGCGTATATTTTTTTGTATATGTGTAGGGGAGGGTTCAAATACAAAATGACCTTCTCATGCACAGTGAGAATAAATCTTGTGCATTCAATTCAGGATCTAATGGCTCAAGATTAGACAACACACTAGAATTGATCAAAAACGCGGTGGCAATTTCTAAATAAATCAAAGCTTTTTGCCACCGCGAAAAAACGCAACACAAACATGAAATAGTGCATCGTATTGAGCGAAAAGTGCGATCGTTCGCACTGTGCACGGGAACACCACTTTTTTATTGAACTCTCCCCTATACATATACATATATTGATATTGATATATATAGAGGGTTCTAATGAGAACCTCTCCTAAAATGAGAACCCTTTATAATGAGAACTTTAAATATCAACCTTTCATTTATTGCAATCGGTGATTGTGATTCACATGGGGTCATATTCATAATTACACCAAATTCAAATGGGGTTTTTATGCAATTAATTCACCTTGTCATTATTAGCCAATGATGTTAAAAATTAATGATGGAGATTAGAAGTTCTCATTTTAAAATGAGTTCTCATTTTAGGAGGGGTTTTTACTAGAATGGAGATTTGTATTCATTTTAAAACCTTGTATTCATGTTCTAATTAGAATATATATATATATAGAGAGAGAGAGAGGAATGATCACCTCAGGTAGTTCTGACGGGAAGCCCTGTCCAAACTTGCCTATCAGAGGCCTTCCTGATGGATTTTTTTGATGAAAATTTTTGGGCATGTTCTTCATGAAGTCTAGTTTATCCACAAAAAAATTCAGCTAAAAATTCAATCAGGAACGCAGTCAAACAATTTTTGGAAGATAACCGCGTTTTTATATGTATATTTTGGCGCAGTTATCTTCCAAAATTTGTTTAACTGCCTTCCCGATTGAATTTTTTGCTGAAAATTTTTGTGGATAAACTAGACTTCAGGAAGAACATGCCCAAAAATTTTCATCAAAAAATTCCACCTGGAAGGCCCTCTGATAGGCAAGTTTGAATGGGGGCTTCCTGTCAGAACAACCTGAGGTGATCATTCAGAAAGTTCATGGCTACGAATTTAATAAAAAAAAAATAGAAATCAATCCAATGTCCAGATTCGTAGAGGTGATGCAACTTTTTGTAACCTAAAATATCTCCTACATTTATTACTAACGTGTGCCCTTTTACATATCCTCCACTAATTGCTCATAATTAATAGGTTTCCATTATTATCATTCTTTATTTGTATCCATCCGTGTGATTGAATGAAAGGCTAGATTTCATTCTGATTTCTCTCCTAAGACTTCATTCTTACCGGAACCACTCCCTATATATAGATTAGAGAGAAGTTATCTCCTGAGCAGTCCGCCCGAAGGTTGATGTCCGGCCAAGGCCATTTTGGGGCCCTTATCGGTGGAATTTTTCGATGATTTTTTTTGAACATGTTCTTCATCAAGTGTAGATTATCTCCACAAAATTTCAGCTTAAAATTCAATTGGGAAGTCAGTTAAATAAATTATCGACACATAATGCGCTTTATGTTTCGATAATAAAGCATATTGTTCTTCCTAAAACGCAGTATGTTTCAATAATTTATTTAACTGACTTCCTGATTGAATATTAAGCTGAAATATTGTGGAGATAATCTAGGCTTGATGAAGAACGTACTCAAAAACTTTCATCAAAAAATTACACCGAGAAGGTCACCAAATGGGCTTGGTCGGACGGCGGCCTCCATGCGAACCGCCTAATGAGAAGAGTTCTCATTTTGTTTTGTGAAACCGGTAGGCAAACCACCCATCGGTGGGCGTATATAGTTAGTTTAGGAGGAGGGAGTGTGAGTGTGCATATATATACATATACATATATAATTTTATATAGAACGTATATAATTATATAATTAAACATATAATTAAATATATAATTATATTATAAATTATATATAAAAAAGAAAGTATATGTATATAATTATATATTTATATATGTAGGGGAGGGTTCAAATACAAAGAGACATTCACATGCAAAGTGAGAATAAATCTTGTTCATTCAATTTGGTATCTAATGGCTCAAAATGAACTAATAATGCACTAATTTTGATTTAAAAAAATGCGGTGGCAATTCCGTAAATAAACCAAAGTTTTTCGCCACCGCGAAAAAGTGAAACAGAAACATGCAATAGTGCAACGCGATAGGGGAAAAGTATAATTGTTCGCACTTTGCACAGGAACAATGCTTTTGTATATACATGCACACTCACATTCCATCCTCCTAAACTAACTACATACTTCCTTTTCGTCTGTCCCAAAATTATTGCCATTCCTTTTTAAGGACAACACTCAACAACAACATCCAAGCCTTATTCTCAATAGATTTTGGGGTCGAATAAACTATGTGGTTTAAATTTAACTACATAGCGTTGTCCTTTCAATGGAGGACACTGAACAGAACCCAAACACACCCGTAGAATGAAGATAAAAATACATGCAACTTGAGGTTCACTCTTTTATCAAACTGCCACATAAAAGTTGAGCTCTAAGTCCGTTTAGAACTCAAAAATGCCAGAAAGAAAATAGGACAGAAAGTATATGATAAATTTCGAAGGGGAAAAATGAGGGGAAATAAAGCATTTGTTCAAACTTCAAACTAATTTATTATTGTTATTTCCTCTTTATTAATCTGCTTTATTATACAAAGATGGAAAAGATTTAAACTCATTTCAAATTCTAAAGAAAATTGTCATATTTCACTTTCCTCTGCATTTCCAGGAGTAAAGCCAAACACAAGAAAGAAAGTTTCTATACCACTTTTTCCTTCCCTAGCATTGTCAGAGATCCAAACATGCCCTGAAAGTAACAAAACAAATTAGCGAACACGGAATACCTTGTCAGTACTAGTCTCTGATATGAAAACTGCACTGAGTGGGATGTTAAAGGAAGATGCAGCAATCTGAGCAACTTTTGTGTGCAAACCTTGCCCCATCTCCACACCTCCATGAGTAACCAATACTGTTCCATCAGTGTAGACTTGAACAAGTGCACCTGCCTGCAATCAAATTATCTCAAATTGAATCATCTCCAAACATATGTTTGGTCATGTTCTATGATGTGTGTGTTGATTTTTTTTCCCGAGCATTTTATAGGTTCCGAACACACCCTACAATATCAATGTTAGGGACCTACATAGAATAATAATAAATGAGAGTAATAATAATATTAGAATAGTTAGTATAAATAGAGGTGGAGGGGAGAATAGAAGAAGGCTGGTATTATTTTGTTGGGCTGGGACTTGGAGAGTTGGCACTCTTTAAACTGCCTTTGTATTTATCTCTTTTCTGTTATACGACTGCTGCCATTGTTAGGCACATCTTCTCTTCTTCCTGTCTATTTTCTTGAATTACTCTGAAATTAGCTAGGTACCTAACATTGGTATCATAGATGGAATCAGACCCTGAAGAGGATATTAATCAACCTATGAGATTTTCATCAGACAATATGGAAGGATCAGAAATACTTAAACCAGATCAATGTTTACCAAACAATAGTTTGGGAGAGCTAAATAAGATTGATGGCTTCAGATTTGATAATGTTACTTCTATTAAGAACATTCAAGATAGATTGGGGGTAGGAAGTAGGAACTACTGGAAATTGGAAGGAAAAGGTGAGTTATACTACTGATGGTTTCACTGACATGTTTCTGATGTTTGACAATGGAATCAATCCTGCTATCGTCCAAGAGGTCTTGATAATTAGTGAAAATGTAAAGAGAATGCCAACAGTTTTTATACCTAATCAAGAAACAGGTATAGGTTTGGACTATTGGGTTCGTAGGGGTAAGGCGTTTATTTCCATTTGTTAGGTACCGGGAAATCTGGCGATGAATTGTTGAAACTGAACAGAAACGGTACAAGTGAGGCAAATTCGAGAGTGCCTCTGTCTCTCCCAAGTCCCGAATCCAGATCCAAAGTTCTGCCTAACTCCCTAATTCCCTTCTTCCCATTCTTATAGTAATTGTATTCTAACGGGCCAGCCCATAACTAAATAATACCAGGCCTAGACCCCCTTTAACATAATATCAAACTTTGTAACATTATTTTATTATTATTATACTAATAGGTTCCTATCACCATTGCTATGAGAAACTCTATCTCCCATTCTCGGTGATCACGCAGAAGAAAGTGAGACATTAAAATGCTGCCTGTTGACCTCAAGCCTATAAGGGAAGGACTTCCAAAGTTTTAATTGACTTCTCAGCTGTTATTCTTGTTGAATGAACCTGATTTGGCAAATTCCTATTCTATGTCTAGAAGCCCAGCAGTTGGATTACTTTTACATGTAAGTGGCCCTAACAGGGAAATTGTTAGATCCTATCTTGATTCTTCCATCCTCCAGCATCAACAACAAGGATTGAACGATTTTGGTTCTTTAAATATGTTGACTATTGGGAGAGAGGCTGTTCTTGAAGTTCATTTGATCATCTGGGTGTTGGAATCTGGTGTTGAGAACATGAATTGCTATTCATTGATCATCTACCAAGACCTACTGGTGTCAACTACAATTTCTAATGACGACTTGATGAAATTTTTTACTCATGCTGTCTTGAGACTGAATTCAAATGCTTTGTCTTCTGGCCTGAGCTCTTGGTCCTGTTTTTGTAAAGGACATGATACATCTAATAACTCGGGAGGGTGGCATGATGAGAATGCATACCACGTGAGTGGGTACTGCTATGTGCTGGTGGACAGTGATCGATGCATCTCAAGAGTTTCAATGTGTGATTGTCCAAGCAATGAAAATGAGGAGTCTGCTCTTGAATACCAGTTGAGTAAATTCAGTGTGGATCTTGACCCTATTATTCAGGCTGATTTTCAACCTTATAAAATGGTCTTATGCTTCAATGATCCCGAAGTGAACTGTTCCAGATGTGGAATTTTAATGGAATCCAAGCTAGATGATGATGTTCGAAATATAGAAATGGAGCCCTACTTGCTTGGAAAAATCTTTCAGGCTGATAGAGACTTTACTAATATGAAGATAAGAGATAAATACTTCAATAAAATGTATTTCAGTAAGAAATAGGGTTGTTATTAGTCAAGTCGGTTATGAGCTAATTACTACCAGGGGTTAGTCTTACTGACTATAAATAGAATAAGGCTGGGAGTAGTAAGTAGACTGTTATTGACTTGTAAGCTGTAAGAATGAGATTGTTGCCTTAGGCCTTCGGCCATGGTTGCCTAAAGAGAATAAAGTGCCTTGAGTTTCTTGAATCAATTCTGTGATCTGTTAGGACTAGAATTGAAAGTATCTAACATTGGTATCAGAGAAGTAGATTCTGTGGATGATATGGACGCACAGATGGAATCGCGAGTGGATAAGTTGGAGAGGATTCATCAACAAAATATGGAGATGTTAAAAACGATTCTCGCCAGATTGGATACGAGGAATCAACATCGTTCGCGAAGTCGATCGCACGCATCGTCTACATCGCATCACTCTTTTCATCATCGACGTACACAACCTTCGACTAAATCAGTGGCCTCGGAAGATCGATCGATGAACAATAGACACCATCCGCTATCATCGAAGGAGCCACAGAAGAAATCGCGAACTTCTTCTCATCGTTCGCAGTCGCGAACAGAGTCTTCACCATCGCAGACTTACTCAGCGGCGATTAATTCACGATCAAGAAAGGCGTCATCTCCTGTCCTTCCTCCAAGTTCGCAAGAAAATTCTTCCAGAACTATGGTTGGTACACGAACAGAAGACCCCAGTTGGCAATCGCTATAAGAGTCACCAGAGTCGCAGCAGGAGTTGAAAACTCAGAAGAAACCTTCCGTGGAAGATTCGCAAACCTATGGCAACAAGGAACGTAAAGAGAATTTGTCAGTTAATTCTGGACCTGTAGCTGGAGCCATTACTAGCTTTCCCACATTCATCAAACCCTCCAGGTATGAACTCCTTAGCTCAGAATTGGAAACCAAGATGATGTGGTCGATTGAGCGTGGCTCTCAAATTGATAAATACCTGCAAGTTAAGATAAACCAAATTGGGAAGTCAATCCCTTTATCTCGAGGTATTCATTCACCTGCTACTGGAGACTCATTGGTTAAACCTCTCAAGACCTCAACTATATTTGATTTAGGGAAGGAGGTGTTTCTTGTAGCTGATGTGATTGCAGGGTTGCATAAGATTGATGATTTCAGATTTGATGATGTTGATCAAAGTAAAAGGTTTATATTGGAGCACTCCCATGATCTTGCGAGGAATGTAAATAGATTTCCTATTGTGCATACTGGTCTGATTAATGTAGTTAAGCACCAGAAATATCTGGCAGTGACTAATAAAAATGGGAATGGGCTGTTACACTTCATTATTGTGGCAAATGGAGCAATTCAGGAAATAACGGTGAAAGAAGGAAGTGAAGCTGCACTCAGAATGGGGATCCACAGTATTATGACTGATGTACTTGATGCTGCAGAAATTCAAGGGATGGAATTGCAGCCAATTGTTGAAAGTATGAGAAACTACCCCAAGATTGGCCTACTTAACCCATGTAAATCATCAGAAAGATATCTAAGATTGGGAGACAATTCTGCCAAGACAGATCCTAGCATATCACTCACAGCATTCCCTGATGTTGTGGATATAATTGCGGGGGTATTAAAGAAGACAACTCTTGAGAGCTACCAGCAAGCTCTAGGCGAAGTTGTTGCACCAAATATTTTAGAAAATTTCCATGGTGATCCGGTCCATTTTATGACAAGGTCGTTTGGAGTGCCAGGAAATCATTTGGGACAGAAAAACCAGGATTTTCACTGGACTTGTGATCCTTTGGCCATTGTTACTTCCTTTAACGCTGCAGTGGAGTTTTCTGATTTTCAGCTGATGGGTGCATTATACAACGGAAATAAAACCAGTCTTAAAAAGAACAGCAGGGTGTGCATAACAATGGAACAAATGCTAATCCGGGTTCATGATTGGGGAATACAGTTGGATATTGTTGAGTTCTTAAATTCAGGAGACACTCATTATGATTCAAGTTTTCTTAAACTTACTTCTGACATGTGGGAGAATGGAATTGTGCAGGAGCTATTCAGTGTGAAGCTTCAATCTAAAGATAGGGTGAAGTCAGAAGCAAATGCTATGCTCAGGCTGGACAGGAGTATTTCATCTAGAAGACTAGAAGTATGGGAACGTATGATACCACCATCAACTAAGTACTGGGAAGGGAGAGGCACCAGGAGGAAGCTGAATACCAGACTTGGTTCATATCTTCCAACTTGAGGGCAAGTTGGATTTTCAGGAGGGGAGATTTGATAGAGACTTTACTAATATGAAGATAAGAGATAAATACTTCAATAAAATGTATTCCAGTAAGAAATAGGGTTGTTATTAGTCAAGTCGGTTATGAGCTAATTACTACCAGGGGTTAGTCTTACTGACTATAAATAGAATAAGGCTGGGAGTAGTAAGTAGACTGTTATTGACTTGTAAGCTGTAAGAATGAGATTGTTGCCTTAGGCCTTCGGCCATGGTTGCCTAAAGAGAATAAAGTGCCTTGAGTTTCTTGAATCAATTCTGTGATCTGTTAGGACTAGAATTGAAAGTATCTAACACAGGCTTCTTTCTCCTCACTTGAGCTAAGAAAGTTGGATGCAGATCCAGTTAGGGAAGCAAAGAGAATTCAGGAATGTTTCTCTCGGGGGCTGTTTGGAACACTGTTCACATGCATATCAGAATTGTTTGAAGCAAACAAGAGAAACAGTTTTCTCGAAAAATATTTTGAGGTTAAAGATACTGAGGCTAGAGATATTGAAGGTATAGAGCAGATCCACATGGCCCCTATATCAGTTTTCAGAAATGGTAGGAGAAGTATAATTGTGGTTGCTACTCATTCAGGAAGAATCTATATTATAGTGGAGGTTGATTCGGATAGCATACAAAATTGTTCTCATCAAAAAGCATCACCGGTTCTTCCTGCAATTATAGATGACCTGGCCGCTGAGAATGGCTCTGTAGGGGATGTAGCACTTGATGCTGGTCAGGTTTTAGTGAAACATCATGTAACCATGCCCTTGCCTCAGCTGCTTGCTATGGAAAAAAAGATAGCAATGGTTCAGTTCATGAAGTTCAGGGTCATGAAATTTGGAAGATACTGGGAAGGAAGAGGCGCAAAGATGAGGAAGAAGCTATTCGTAAGGACTGTCTCCTATCACCCACCTTGAGGACAAGGTGGTTGTCAAAGGGGGAGTAATGTTAGGGACCTACATAGAATAATAATAAATGAGAGTAATAATAATATTAGAATAGTTAGTATAAATAGAGGTGGAGGGGAGAATAGAAAGGAGGCTGGTATTATTTTGTTGGGCTGGGACTTGGAGAGTTGGCACTCTTTAAACTGCCTTTGTATTTCTCTCTTTTCTGTTATACGACTGCTGCCATTGTTAGGCACATCTTCTCTTCTTCCTCTCTATTTTCTTGAATTACTCTGAAATTAGCTAGGTACCTAACAATCAATCTCATTATGAACATGATAATAGCAACTCATTCCTGTGTCATGATATTTTTCATGCAAGTAAGAAAAAATCTAGACAGCGACGGCTTTGAAATTTCATCACATTACCCATTCCAAAGAAGGTTGCTATCGCAACGACCCGAACCTTAATGTGATTAAGATGGTGATGATGATGACGATCTCCTGATATAACTATGACAGCCTATCAAAATCTGGCTAGTTACCTGATTCTGGAACTTTGTTGTAAAAGATATCCCAAATTTTGTTGGAATTAAGGATATTCCTCGCTTCTTCCACCGATTGCCACAATTGAATTTTTCAACATCTTTACGAGCATTACCAAAGTCACAGGAGGACTTCAATTCATTCCACAGACGTTCCAAGGTACAATGTTCAATCTTTTGGCTATAGTGTAAGACTGTGCCTTCTCTATGAAAATTCAGCTCCTGGAAAATGAAGAATAAAGGTTATCAATTTATGGGTGTACTCAATGTTGTCAAAAACATAAGGCATCAAAGGAGTTGCATATCACACCCTAATTTCTTCAGGAGTTTTCTTAACCTCCACTGCAACTCTTTCAATCCAATTTTCAGTGATCAGCATACCCTGTGGACCTCCAAACCCTCTAAAAGCTGTATTACTGGGAAAATTAGTGAAGCAGACTCTTCCAATAACTCTGATATTTGGTATCTCATAGACATTGTCTGATTGAAACATAGCCCGTTCAAGTATGGCTAATGATAGATCAAGTGAGTTTCCAGCGTTATTGTAGATTTCAAGATCCAATGCAAGAACCTTCCCGTCATTCTTAAAGCCTACCTACAATAGTACTGATTTGTTATCAGAGAAAACTGCATGGAGTGAAGAGATATGATGCAAATCACAATGAAGGTATGCCATATGCCAACCTTTTTAGTCAAGTGAGAAACAAAAGAGGATATGTGATTTATTCATCTCTTCCCCAATTAAAAAAAAAGTCTTTTAGTTTTAGGTGTATTCGAAAACTCCAACTGTGACTCTGTGAGTGCTTAACATACTTTATCTGTTCCAAAATGAATCACACTCGCATGGTACGTTCATCATTTTCATTTACCCCAGTGCCGCAAAGGCTCCCACCTACGGTGGGGTAAGGGGGGGTCGGATGTACACAGTCTTACCCCTGTACTAAAGCACAGAGAGATTGTTTCCGGATGACCCATAGTGAAAAACGCGACCAAAATTGCATGGACTGACTGCTACTTCATAACAAAGAAGCGCAGACAGTTTAGTGAGCCATTTGGCTTTATTCCATCATATTCTCAAGCCAAAAAATAATGAATCTTTGGCTCCATTGCAAATGGCGGAAAGTCGCATGGTACGTTCTTTGGTAATAATTTAAATTAGTGGTAGTTAATAGAATGTATATTCCCATCCATTCTTGTTTAGTTGCAATACTTTAACTTATGTATTATTCATATGCACTACTTTGTCCATATATGTCTCATGTATACGAACTTCTTAGACTTTTTTACTAATAGATAATCGAAACATATTAATGATCAAAGTTTTGTGTTAGCAAATGTAAAGGTAAACTGGTCAAGTAGCTGCAACTAGAGGAGATTAGCATATAATTAGAAACTACACAGGAAGCTACATTAAGCTTTTAATTAAAGCCAAGAAAATCTGAATTCAAAAATTCTAAAAATAAGTGTTCTTAGGAAAGAAAAAGTCACTTTCACCATTCAATGAATACTACATGTATCATATGGGACGAAGTAATGAAATTTAACACTGCAAATAGCATGTACTACCCATAAGGGAGAGAAGTTATTGTAAATCAAATAACTCTCAAACAAGATCACACATGAAAATATATTAAAGTGATTCAACTATTCAAGTTGAGAGCAGCAACAAGTACCCTATACTTCCCAAGGAAGCTATGTCGCTGTCCAGTTATCATCATATCCACATCTCGGTCCAATATAATTTTTACTGGACGATTCAAAAGGTATGAAGGAACAGCAGCTACAGCAGCCACAAAAGCAGATCTAGTTTCCTTGCCTCCAAATCCACCACCTATTCTTTTGGTCTTACAAACCACTTTAGACATTGGAAGACCCAGAACATGAGAAACATACTTCTGATGTTTCTGAAGAGCCTGAAATATAAAAAGCAGTTATTGGCTCCAATACGTTTTAGTCCCTGCAAATATGTTTTAGTCCCTGCAAATATGACACATTTTGTTTTAGGTCCCTGCAATTTTTTTTTTGTTTTTCATCCCTGCAATATGCACTATTTTCTTTTTAATCCATCTCTAATTCTAAAAACACTCTACTTACAAAAAAAAGTTATTGTCGGTTACATAAATCTACTAGAAATATTTAAATTTGTCTTTCTATAATTTTATTGAGGCTAATATGAGAGTTAAAATAATGTCAAACTAAGTATTCACATTTTAAAAATATATATTAGAAAACCCTCTAAAAATAAAATTAAATACTTTTTGAATAACATGACAAAGAAATAGAGGAAATCTATTAATCGGGGTTATTTTGAGGTCAAGCGGATGTTTTTATCATCGGTGATGGACTAAAAAGAAAATCAACGTAAATTGCAGGGACGAAAAACAAAAACAAAAAAAATGTTAGGATCTAAAACAAAATGTACTATATTCGTAGGGACTAAAAACATATTTAAACCAAATAAATATTATACGCATTGATTGATAAGTAATACTTCCTCAGTCCCAAAGCAAAGAATCATGTTTTCAGAAAATTCATGTCCCCATAAAAAAGCAATTCAACAAAAACTGCTAACATATTTATTGGGGGACATTATATATATAAAGCGCAGTATGTTTCATTAAATAAATAAATACAAAAATATGTAATTAATTAAGAGCAATGAGCAACTAAATAGTATGCCTAATAAATAAACACATAGATAAATAAATGCATAGCTGTTCAGTTTGAAAAGGATGAAGCATCAATATAAGAGACAGGGGAATCACATATTGCAAATCGATGTTATCTATGCATATTTAGAAAACAAAAATACAAACTTAAAAAAGAAGAGTTGAAAAACCTGTGTAGATGAGATCATGTGCACCTCATGACCACCGTCCACTGACCATATTAGAGTACTTTGAGGCTCCAAGTAAAAGTGTTCCTGACCACCAACATGAACTTCTCCTTCAATAACCTTGTCACACTGACCTGATTGAAAACATTGGTCAACATCCCCCTTTATCAAACACCTTTCAGTGTTTGGATGAAAACTATTAGCTTTGAGAGCATCCTTTATAGATAGAATTGCGGGCAGATCTTCATACTCAACACGAACCTTTCCAGCCGCAAGCTTTGCATTTTCGTGAGTGTCGGCAACAACCACTCCAATGACCTTCAATCAATAGATGTGAGGTGCATGAGTTCATCATCATTATAATTACCTCAGTGCCGCAAAGGCTCCCACCTACGGTAGGGTAAGGCGGGGTCGGATGTACGCAGTCTGACCCCTGTACTAAAGCACAGAGAGACTGTTTCGGGATGACCCATAGTGAAAATCGAGTCCAAAATCCTGTTGCTTCATAACAAAGAAGCATAGGCAGTTTAGTGAGCCATTTTGCTTTATTCCAACATATTCTCAAGCCAAAAAATAGTGAATCTTTGGCTCCATTGAAAATGATAGAAAATGTGAGGTGCATGAGTTAATCTTGAAAAAATCTTCAATGATACTCCACACACATTAACAATAAAACTGTATAAAAATTATATAAGGCTTAATTGGTTCGGGAATTTTGGAGGGGAGGGAGGGGAGGATTGATTTTTTTACTAATTTATCTCTATTAACTGGCTTTGCACTCAAAATAACTATACATTTAATTGAATAATGTATTTATATAATTCTTCATCTTCCCTTCTTTCCAAAAATGAATATCAGCCCTCCTCCCTCCCTACTCTCTGAAAATCCCTGAACCAAACAAGCCCATAGTCTCCATAAACTTTTACATTCAATATAAAAAAATATGCAGAATAAATCATACCTGACCTACACAAGTAACATATTCCACTGCAAAAAGTTCTTCATCCTCTATAATTGGCCCAACCATGTTGTTACATGGAACATCTTTGGCATAAAATATTCCAGCAAATCCAGGAAAGGCCTTAGCCTCTGAATCGTCTATTGAAAGTATGCGTGCATGCGGTTTTTTACTCAATAAGAGAGCAGCGTGTAAACTATTTGGAGGCATGGGCATGTCATCAGTATACTCTGCCTCCCCTGAAACCTATGAGCACACCAACCAAACTATCAGGGGCTACTTTAACAAAAGAGACAAAGAAGGTATGTTTGGAGAATCAGTAAGAGCAGTTAAGCAGAGTCTATTAGAGTGTTTGTGTTGGCTTCTACTTTGAGAAGTGATTTATGTTAGAGATTATATGAAAAGTTCTTAATAGTAAAAGTTGTTAGTGTTTGAAGGCAAAAAATGGTTTTGAAAAAGTAAAATTTAGGGTGTTTGGTCATAAAGTATTTTTTGTGTAATAGAAAAAGTGGAAAGCAGTTAAAGCATCCAGCCCATATTTTCAGCTTATAGCTTTAAAGTGCTTAATTTAGGCAAAGCACCTGTTTGAAAACACTACTTTTAGCTTTTTCAAACAAAAAGCTGAAAAGGCACTTTTTTAGTTTTTGCGAACACTGCTTATAATTTGTATTTGGCTGCTTTAAGAAAGTGATGGGCTTCCTGCTCAGAAAACATATCATTTCCATGTAGAGTTCAAAAGTCATTTCTTTTACTCTATAGCATTAAAACCCAACCTTCATCATCATCATCATCATCATTACCCCAGTGCCACAAGGCTCCCACCTACGGTGAGGTAAGGGGGGGTCGGATGTACGCAGCCTTACCCCAGATGACCCATAGTGAGAATCGCGTCAAAAATTACATAGACTGACTGCTGCTTCATAACAAAGAAGAGCAGACAGTTTAGTGAGTCATTTTGTTTTATTCCATCATATTCCCGAGCCAAAAAATAGTGAGTCTTTGGCTCCATGGCAAATGATGGAGCAAGAAGATAAAATCACCAAGAAGGAAATACTTGCATAGAAACAAACAAATGCTTCCACACGGGGATCTCTGTCACAGAATCATTTCATTTAATGCACTGCTAAGCATAGGTTCCTATTAAATATTAATACTACCTTCCTCTCTCTCATACACGCACGGATATATACATAAACATACATATGCATGTGTAGCCAGTCACGGTAACCAATCAAACATTAGTTAGATAAATTGCTCAACTAGAACAAGCAAGCAAGAACTTACGTTAAGTTATTAAAACCCAAGTCATTCAACATTTCAACAAAAGAAATAATAAGACCAACCATGAACCGAGCAAAACAAAGAAACCATCTTGATTGTTTACACGTGAAGTTAAGACATTATATTCAAGGTAGAATATGAGAGAGAAAGACAACATTCAGACTGATAACATTCATGCAGAAAAAGTTCACACCTGCAGCCGTGATGAAAGATGAGCTTCAGGAGAGCCTACAGAAGTCCCATGCTTCCTAATTTCAAAATCCTGAATTGCACTCAATGATGGTCTCCTTAATGGTTCTATAGCTGACAAATGAGATGATGGCATCCTCTCGAAGTTTTCTCCATCCATTTGATGACAAATCCACAAGAAAAATTTAAAGAAGAAACTAAGGGTTAAAGATTTACGAAATTCAACCATTCCACCAGGTGCATTTTCCTTCAGCACGATTTCCTCTTTCAAAGATTGTAAAGCACTCTTCAATAGCTCTTTGTCCCAATTTTGCCCAATTAAAAAATCTCTTGTTTTAGATGCAGAAAAAGAAAGAGGAGCAACCCCCCCATATACAAGTGATGCCTCTAAAACAACCCAGTTCTCTTTCCTCCTTTCAAGAAAAACACGCATCCCTGCATTGACAATTGCAATATCATCATCCCTCCTGTGAGCTTGCTTGAATTCTTTCACAAACTCAAACGGTCTACTCCATGGTAAAAACACAGATAACAAAACTTCATTGCTTGCCAGGTCCACTTTGCGATAACCCAGAAAGAAATTTTCAGCCAATGACCATCTGATATTTCCCTTGCAGTCTATGATTTGCAGTTTTGCTCCAGCAGCAATCCAAAGAGGATTTAAGTCTGATATTGGACTGGCAGTGCAGATGTTCCCTCCAACCGATGCAACATTCCGTATTTGTGTTCCAGCAAACCACTTTATCTGCTCCATGAGAGCTCTACATGAAGAAGTTTCATATAGATCTCGCTCACTACAAGCCCTTTTTAGTAATTTAACAAGCTGTGAAAGCTTAACTGCAGCACCTACTGTTATGCCGCCATTTTCAACGGTTAACTTATTCAATTCAGGAATGTGACCAACAGAGATTAAAACGGGATATTGTATTCGTTTTAGTCTCATTTCAATCCCAACCTCTGAATTACCTACCACGAGTTTCGCATTTGGGTAGCTTTCCTTAAGATCTAACATATCTTGAAGTTTCAAGGGTCTATACCACCTTAATCCATTTGACCCGCTCAATCTCAAAGATGACATTTTCCTCAATAGAAGTTCAGGAGGGAAAATGAGCTCTTTCTTGGTGTATGCAGTTCCATCAATCTCACTATAAGATATTGGTCTCAAGCCACAACCATCACTTGTGTGTTTACTGTTCTGTTCAACACTTCCATCTTTCAAACCACATGAACACGCCTTACCTGTTGAAGGACAAAGAAACTCTGAATCACCTCCTGGTGATCCATTGGTGTACATAGCATCATTAGTTTTGGAAAATACTCGAAATGCATCCATTATAGGTCTGTAACCAGTGCATCTACATAAATTTCCTGCAAGGCTTTCTTCAATCTGCTCTTCTGTAGGAGGTTCTTGAGATGATCTTAGCAGTGCATACATGGACATAATGAAACCCGGAGTACAAAACCCACATTGTGAGCCATGAGTATGGGCTAATGATTCCTAGGACAGAATAGAAATTATCATTCAAATCAGAGTGTAGTAATATTCATGAATATCTTATACGTAGTATTGATTTACGATTCTAATTATAGGAAAAGGATCGGAGCATAAATGCAGAGATATGCCTGGACTGGATGCAAGCCATGCCTGATATTCCCAACTCCTTCTACAGTAATGACGTGCATCCCTTCTACTGAATATAGAGGAGCCAAGCATGCATTAATCGCATGATGCCTAGATATGGAAACACATAGTGAGAAGGGTTGATATATTCATATGTACAGATTAAAACAGCACCAATGTTAACATCCAATTGTTTCCATTATTTGATTAAGCAAATGCAACAAAGCAAGCATGACGTCCAACACCTTCACTATAGTGCAAATAAGTTGTAGGATGGTGAAAAATTGAGCATAAAAACTTAAAAAAAAACACTGAACTTGATTCTATGTTTGGTTATGGATAAATTGATAGATAGCTTTTTCTTTTTCCTTTTTCTGTTGGATGCGAGTACTTTTGTTCCTCTAAATGGGATTTTTTTATGAAAAAATATCACCCCAAACACTCTTGTAGGCTCATAGCCCCTCATAAATGCTATTGTTTGTGTGCAAGTAATATAACAGCCTAGATCTAATAATAATGAAGAGTCCACATAAACATGTAGATGATAAATTTCTGACCAAGAAGCATAGTAGATCCGTAGAGAGACTTAAGACTTACATGCATTTCTTTGAGCTCAAATCATAACAAGAGACCATTACTGTGCATGCCCCACAACCACCTTCACCGCAGCCTAGCTTTGTCCCCGTCAGACCAATATCTGCAATGGCACAGTTTGCTACTAGTGTTATTCTTAAAATCTTTTCGTTGTACTTTTCAAGAACCTTTCTTTGAGATGATTCTTCCCCTTTTCTATACCTTCAACTATTTTCAAGTCATTTCCAACATGTATGGCAAATAAAACAGATTATATATAGGAAGCATTTCATACATGTTGAGCTTTAGATGGTAGATCCAACATACAACCCTCATCCTTCCTAAAAAAATGAGAGATAGGAATAGCACTTTAATGCATTTCATACATTTTAAGTTTTACATGGCAGATCCAGCATAAATTATACAGACCATAATGTTGGGTATAAACCATACACCTTTTCAATTGTGCAAAGGGATCACTTACAAGTCATTATCACGATCATATTCTACACTTTACTTGGTGGTTTCACAAAATTCATCATGTTTAACCTTTTTAATGACAACTTACAATAAATCAAAGGAAAACTAGTTTCTTTTGTCAAATCAATGCTTTTTTTATACAAATATAATACGGAGTATTTTGGAATGGGATCGTATTCCTTGTTGAGTAGAAGGGCCCACTCGGACTATCATTTGAGATCTTAGAGCATCTCCAATGGTAGAATGTGCACGGTGCACATGTGGCATGAGAAATAGCCACATAAATATTAATAAATAAATTATCTCTCTCCTTATTTCAATGATTTTATACAATTTTGGTATGTTTTTCCCTGTAATGTCAACTTCAATGTCAACATTTAGACGGTCTCCTTGACATTGTGGAGAAAAACTTACCAAAATTGTATAAAATCACTTAAATAAGGAGAGAAAGAATTTATTTACTAATATTTATGTGGCTATCGTTCATGCCACATGTGTACCGTGCACGTTCTACCATTGGAGATGCTCTTATATCATATGCTCCCATGGATGGAGCTTAGCCTAATCATGATGCCTATGAATATTATGTTATTAACCACATCTGTTCCTGTCTACTGTTTGCTTTCTTTTTCCATGATTAACCCACTAAAGCCATCTTAAAGTTAATAGATTAATTAAATAGGGATATTTATGTATTTTTACATTTTAACTCTTTATTATAAATATATCAGGGCTCCTTAGAGAGCATCTTTTTCCATTATTTCACATGGTATGAAGAGCTCAGCAAAAACCCTAAAAAAGAATTTCGGCCAACCCTGTTCACCGGCATGAGTTCTTCCAGTGCCGCCTTCACAGCGGCATCTTCCATGGCTGTCACGCAGGGCACGTCACCTGTGATTACCTTCGGCACTCCTGTCATGCACGGAACTCAACCGTCCTCTTCTTCAGCAGAATCTGGAGTCATCTTCTCCTCTAGCTTCACGTCACCAAGTCACAGCCTGCCATACTCCCTCTTCCAGAATCTGCCTCCGACTTTTCCATGGCTGAATCCATCACCTGTTCGACCCATGACCTTGGACCCTCCACCCTTCTCGAATGCCCCCTTTTCTGGCCCTACATTCGTGGGCTCACCGGGGTCTCATCTACTCTTCCGCCCCTTCGGTCCGCAGCCACACCCACGGCCGGGTCTCAATTGACTGAACTTGCTCCACTATTTCTCCTGTGGCCACTAATGTCACCAATATTGTTACAACAAAACTCTTGGCTGTGGAAGATTATAGTACCTGGCGGACATAGTTCGAGTCTTTTTTTGTTTCACAAGGTTTTCTGGGCATGGTTGATGGCTCTATTCCATAGATGTTCTTAACCGTCAAATTCTCAATCTCGACTTTTCTACTTGGTTGGGAAGTTATCAAATCATTTCATCTTGGTTATTCGCTACACTTTCTCATGATGTTCTTATTGATGTTCGGGGTTTAAAACATTCCTTTGAAATTTGAGAACGGTTAGAATCTCATTTTATGTCTGCCAGTTTGGCACGATCTATGGAATTAAAGCGTTTGCTATCACAACTTAAAAAGAAACATGATCAATCTATGGACCACTACTTGAGAGAAATTAAAGTTTTGGTTGATGATCTTGCCACTATTAACTATCCAGTCCCCCCCGCGAGGTGTTAAAATCCACTATTAAGGGATTAAACCCCGAGTATGAGTCCTTGTTCACAACGGTGACACTTTTTCCTCAAATTGTTCATCTCCTTGAACAAGAGCAGCGTATTCTCTATTTTTCTTAAACTTTTAGTCCTGTTATTAAACCTACCACAGTGCGTATTGTTCTTAATCTTGCAGTCTCTTTTGTTTGGGTTATACGTTAGCTTGATGTTAAAAATGCATTTTTGCATGGTCACCTTACTGAAGAAGTCTATATGCGTCAGCCCTGTGGTTTTATCCATCCTCTGTTTCCTAATCATATGTGTCGTTTGCGCAAGGCTATTTATGGGCTTAAGCAAACACCACGGCCATGGTTTCATAGGTTTAGTAGCTTTCTATTACAACATCAATTTTGTGTTAGTAAGTCTGATAATTCTTTGTTCATTTATGGCCATAATAACAATATTATCTACGGTATTTATTATTATAGGTAGATGGTATTATTATTACTGGTAAATCTGAGTCTACTATTACCCAATTTATTTCGATTATCTCTAATCACTAATCTACATTATTTCTTGGGTGTTGAGGCTACCAGGTCTTCTAAAGGTCTGTTTCTTTCTCAAAACAAACATGTTTCTGATCTTATAGCTCGTTTTCATCTCCATACCGTCAAACCCGTTCGCACACCATTAGCCTCTCGCACCACTCTATCTCCATCTAATGGTGAGTTACTCTCATATTCCACCGAGTATCGCAGCATGATAGATGTGTTACAATATTTAACTTTTACACGTCCTGATATTACTTATGCAGTACACTTAGTGTCTCAATTTATGCATGCATCCCGTACCACTCATCTCTTTGCGGTCAAAAGAATCTTCAGGTATTTGCAGGGGACTCGTGATCATGGGCTATGGCTTCAGCATTCAGATAAACCCACATGTGTACTAGCTTATTCTGATGCAGATTGGGCTGGTTGTTCTGACAGCTCTCGATCAACCACAGGCTTTGCAGTATTTTTGGGTCCTAATCTTAGTTCTTGGAAATCGAAGAAGCAACCTACCGTGTCCAAATCCTCTACAGAAGCAGAGTATCGTGCTATTGCTTACCCAGTTTAGGATACCTTGCACATCAAATCGGTGTTATTTGAGCTCGGCTTTCCCATTGCTGAACCGGTACATTTATTGTGTAATAATGTTTCAGCTTGCTATTTGACTGCTAATCCAGTCCAGCATGCTCGGAGTAAACACATAAAGATTGACTATCATTTTGTTCGCGAACGTGTTGCTCATGAAGATTTGATTGTTCGACATGTTCCTACACATTTACAGTTGGCAGATATTTTTACTAAGAGCCACCCTAGCCAGCGTTTTCATTTTTTGAAAGACAACTTGCGCGTTGTTTCTCCCGCACAGCTTGAAGAGTGTACTAGAATAATTAAATAGGGATATTTATGTATTTTTACATTTAAACTCTTTACTATAAATATATCTCTGAGGGCTCCTTAGAGAGCATCCTGTTCCATTATTTCACAAAAGTCAATCTCATTTTTTTACCCCAATCTCATTTTAAAAAGAAACTACACAAATGAAGCTGGAAAGTCTTCCAGCAGCTTAACTAAATCCCAGTTCTCTTATAAAGAATCTCAGCCTGCCCCAAAAAACTTGACTTTTTTCATAAAATCAAAATTAAAAGAAAAGGAAAAGATATAAACGAACCCCTTAGATACTCAAGAAGTGTCATGTGGGCCAAACCATCAGGCAGTACTCGTCGGATCCCATTGACGTATACGATAGCTTCATTTGATCCGCCCGAGACCGTCTCGCTCTTCAGAGAACCCATTTTTCTGGAATAAAAATGACACCAAAAACTTCTGGGAGAGAAATTGTGGCAAGGGATATCAATTATTGCTGCGTGGGTAGAGAAAAGTAAAGTTTAATGCTTAAAGATGCCCCGCTAGCTTACCCAAGACACTACTGCGTCTTGTGCAGAGTGAGTCGGTTTAGCATGTGACTTTGGCCGAGAAATGGCAGAAAACACTTATCAGAAAGTACATATGGAAAACATGCACTGACGATAAACTCACTGAAAAATGCTGAGTCGTATTTCGTGTAACGTCTGATCATATCAAATCCTGAACTCAGAAGGTGTATCATGCAGGCTGTATGGCTGATACCTTGTAATGAAAATTATGGCTTTTCCATGAGCATTCGTATAATTTGGATGAGCATTAATTTATTGTTTTTAGTATTATGAGCTTAACAATGAACAGATCTCTGTTTCATAACTTCTAATTCAGTTTCTTTTTATTATTTTTTCGTTTATAAAAATTCTTAAATTATGTTCATAATTAATTTCAATATGTGAATCTAATGCAGTATGATAAGTTTGATATGTGCAGCATCTTGAAATGAGCATAAAGCAGTACCAAATGAGCAAACACAGTTTACAAAATGAGTATCAAAAAATTTAAAAGTTCATTTGTGTATGCTCATTGATTTTGGACGTTATACTCATTTGAATCTATTTATATACTCCCTCTGTCCCCCAATTAAGTTCTCATTTTCTTTTTGGGTAGTCCCTGCAGTAAGTTCCTCTTTTCTTATTTGGCAAATTAACTACATCAAAACAGTGTCGAAAGTGCAAAACTGTGTCAAATAGTGTCCAAATAGTGTCAAAATAGTAAAGTTTACCCCAGCAAAAAAAATTCTTAATAAGTGTGAAAAACAATGGAGAACTTAATTGGGGGACGGGGGAATATAAGAAAGGAGATAGCTCATCAAAATATCATTATACCCTTTATAAATCTTATGCGTCAAACTCTCCTCAATTCACTCATTTTCTATGAGAATGCCAAAGTGCCACTTTTTCCCCTTCAAATGTGGGGAACACCAAATGAAAGGAAGGGAGTGCATGTAATTATTGGGGCCCAAGCTATAAAAAGTCCCAATTTTCTTTAAAGAGTTATAACTTTTTTGTTTTTGCTCCAATTTTTATAAATAATATATCAAAATTCATAATATTATGATCTTTCATATGAGATCAATGTTGAATATAAAAAAAATTAATTGATTAGCAACCTCTATAAATATTTTTAAAATATCTATTATTATCTATATTTATATACTCCATATAAGAAAGGAGTATACTATTAAAAATACCGTCTTGCCCCCATTATTATGCAACATGCCTGCCTACCAGTGTTAGATAACATTGCTCTACTTATGTCACGCGGCTTCATCTTTCGCATTTTTATTATTTGCTTTACAAAAAACATAATTCGTTTTTTTGTAATTTGTCCTACTAATATACATCATCTATCTCAATAAAACTTTAATCTTCAATATAGTCTTACTTTTAATAAAAATATAATATTATACTCCCATTATTAAAGTATTGTAAACCTTATTCCTACTGATTATAATGTCACTCGAGATTCAAAATTTAGAAAATGAAAATGATAGCCAAATCACGTGCTAAGATGCTAATAAATAAAACTTCTAAATTTAATCCAATTTTATAGTATGGTACTCTTTATGGTACTCTTTATAGCAGAAATGCTCAGGTCCATCCGGAGGGACGGGAGGCTCCGTCCGAACTTTACTGTTTGAGGCGGTTCCCGGTGGAATTTTTTGATGAAATTTTTTGATCATGTTCCTCATCAAGTCTAGTTTATCCATACCAAATTTCAGCTCAAAATTCGATCGGGAAGGCATTCAAATTATTTCTTGAAACTTACTGCACATTATATGTGCGCAGAATGTGCAGTATGTTTCAAGAATTTATTTGAATGCCTTCCCGATCGAATTTTGAGCTGCAATTTGGTATGGATAAACTAGACTTGATGAGGAACATGCTCAAAAAAATTCATCAAAACATTCCCCGGGAACCACCCCAAACAGTAAAGTTCGGACGGCACTTCCCGTCCCTCCAGATGGACCTGATCATTCCTCCTCTTTATAGTATGGTACTCTTCATTTAAAACCACAATTACAGTGTCCACGTGCTACTTTTGCTTCTATCAATGGTTAATATTTCAATAAAAAAATGTTTGTTTTTCATTGTAAATATAGCTTATATATTAGTATATCAAATACTCCATTTGTCCCTTAAAACTTTGATAATTTTTTTTGTTGTCCCACTAACTTTGTCACTTTTCATTTTAAATAAAGAATTTGTGGTTCATGTTAATTCTCTCTCTTCTGCACAAATTTTAGTCACACAGTTTTTACTTTATTAATCTTTATGCCGGTCAAACTTGACAAAGTTTTAAAGGACGAAGGTAGTACATGAGAGAGTTAGGTATGATCTGTGCTCTAAGCAAGTTGGAGGGAAGATGATATACGCATCTTTTAATAATCTGAATATTATACTACGTATTACTTGTTTCATTCATACATGACATATACATAGTACTTCCTCCGTCCCACAAAACTTGGCCAAAGTTGACTTGCATGTAGATTATTAAAATGAAAAAATGTTTGATTAAAATTTGTGTAGATGAGAGAGAAATAATGTTAGCCACATGTTCCTTACTTTAAATGGAAATGACAAAGTTTGCTTAGACGACCAAAAAAGAAATTTGGCCAAGTTTTTTTAGACCGGGAGAGTTTATAGTACGGAGTATCACGCAGAAAACTCTTTCTGTCACTGCAAAACTTAATGTGATATAAATTCAAAGTCATATTGGATTTGAAATACTAGCACAGACTACACAACAAGTACTATTATTTTAGGGGTTGGAAGAACCGGGTCAAAACCTGAAACTCGAAAACCAACCCTAGCCCAGACCGAATATTGTGACCGGTCTAGGTTTTTTTGGACGACCCAGATAAAAAATATTTGGACCGAACCCGAGAAATCATGTTCAATAGTGGTCACTGAGATCTATAACCCGGCACGGGGCCAGACCGGTCATATAAGGAATAAATGTATTTAGATTTTGATGATGCTAGAATTATTATAACTTTAGTATACCTCCATTAGAATTGATGTATTAGAATTTTTCTAAGTGTAAGCATTCTAGAGTAATCGACTGACAGAAGACCTCCAGGCCCTCTGCTGAACGTTTACTAAACAGAAGTGCTCAAGGCCCTCTCAGACTGCCCCTCTGTATACAGCAACAGAAGTCCTCACACTTAGTCTTTCTCGAGCCTACTTAGCCGATTTCTAAACGGAATCTTCCTAACGGCTAGGAGCTCCATCAATGAAAAACTACAGGACAAGTGCATTTAATGCTCATTTAATGAGTTCTATGCTCTGAAGAGCTAAAGCTGATGATTGACCGAGATTCCAGGGAAACCTTATCCCAAAATAGCAAGTCGCCAACCTTGTGGGTCCAACCAGTCAACTTCACTGGACGCGCATTTAATGAAGTTTTCTTCCTCCAACGGGAAAACAACCCTAGTATATATGATACTACATGAAGAACTACCCGGATAACTTTCGCTCTAAGTACAACTTAAAAAGCTTTCTTGAGATTCAAACTCCACCTTCCTCAACAAGAAAAGCTTATGTGGAAAGATGATATTTTCTCATATTCTTCCATCCAACGAATAGCAAAGTTCTTCCAAGTTCTTCAACACTTCAAGCACTTCATTACACATCCTTTGTAACGAAGCAAGTTGGAGAAAACCTTGATCTTAACAAGTTCTGTTAAAGAAGGGCGTCCAAGTAACTGGAGTAGTGAAGTGGGTATACTTCAAAGAAGCTCAGTGAAAGGACCAGTCTTAAAGGAAGTAAGGAAGTGCATCCCAGGAGACATCTACACTTGAAGAAGACGTGGGGAGCTTCTTAAGTGCTAGGACTTAAGCGTTGTAGTTGATTTCTTACAAGCTTAGTGGAACAGTGGAAGAGGAACAAGTTGTTCCTTGAACCACTATAAAAATCTCTGGTGTCATTTACTTACTGCTTTTAATACTTGCTTTTGCGTTTTAACTACTTAACTCTAAAGAAGTGGTATCTGGCTCAGCAGAACACCTCTTGCGAGTTAACAGAAGGCATAGTGCCTTTGCATCTCTATGAGGCTATCGCGACAGAACCCCTACCAAAAGACCATCCGCTGCCATGCTATTCTTCAACAGAACAGGTTATTCTGTTAATCTTGGTACTTGCTTGAAGAAGTTAAAAACCATAACAGTCTATTCACCTCCCTCTAGACTGTTACCTTGATAATCGGGACCAACAAGTGGTATCATAGCCTCCTTGTTCTTGTAATCTCTTAGGTTACCCTTTGAACAAAGATCCACTTGTTCTCAGCCTCTCTATTTCTTATTATGGATAACTCTCTTGCAAAGCATCTTATGTTCTCGGATTAGAAGTATGATGAATGGAAGATCCGGATAAAGGCACATCTCATCACTTTCATGATGAGATGCGGGATGTTCTAGAAGAAGGACCATTCACCAAGTTCATGAAAGTGAACCCTGACCATGTTGCTGATAAATCAAAACCTCAGATGATTGAAAAGGCCAGATCTGAATGGACTAAGGAAGATAGAAGGCAGTATAACCTTGATAACATAGCCAAGGATATCCTTTACAAAGCTATTGACAACAGATACTTCAACAGGATTAAGAAGTGTCAAACTGCAAAGGAAATATGGGATAAGCATGATCTCATAGGAGCTGGTGATGAGCAGGAAAGAGACAACAAGATAACCATAGCCATGAAGAAGTTTGATGACTTCAAACTCCTTCCTGAAGAATGCATAGCTGAAATGTATGCATGACTTCTTGTTCTTACCAGTGAGATCTCTGAGCTAGGAAAGGAGCTCACTGTCAAAGAAGTCAACCTGAAAGTACTCAGAGGACTACCCTCAACCTCGAAGATGAAGGTAGTTGATGTACAAGAAAGCAAAGATGCCAAAACCTACCCAACAGAGAAGATGATCTCAGACCTCAAAGCTTATGAGTTTGAGATGCATGAAGAGAAGGAAGAAGTGCCAGAAGAGAGGACCACCACTGCTCTCACAGCCAACACTTCTAAGGTAAAAGACTTTGACCCTTCTATTTTATTATCTGACGAATATATTGCTGCTCTTGCTAGAAGATTTCAGAAGTTCATGAAGAAGTCCAAAGACACAAGAAGTCCATCATGTAGCAGAAAGCCTTTCCATAAGACCAACTCTTCTGAAAGCAGTGGAGAGCTCCTCTGTTACAACTGCAGACAACCAGGACATTTCAAAGCCAACTGTCCACACCCCAGAGTGTCCAAAAGACAAGGACAAGAAGAAGAGAAGAAGTTTGACTGC